GCCATCACTATCATCACCTCATTTATCATTAGTACGATACATAAGCCGACGAAATAATTTTCGACGAAATGAACTTTTCGACGAAATGAACTTTCGACGAAACAAACTTTCGACGAAATGGGTGTCGACGAAATGATTGTTGACGAAATGATTTTCGACGAAGTAAACGGGACCGAAAAAAAAAAAATGAATTACAAGGCTAAATTCCTGGAATCATTTCCTGCCAAAGAGTATAGGTATAAGCACACACATCGCGTTGAGAGATTAATCATCTTGAGCTATCGAAAATGGAGATCACTTTACTGCCATATTCTGGTTGTAAAAGAGGTTCATCGGAAATGGTTTAAAGGCGAACCGATCTCTGATGGGAAAAAATACGTGCAGTTTATTGTCAATATTGTCAATTGGATAACATATGCTCAAAACGCTTATTGACCCGATTAATGATAATTTTATCTTGTTATTTTTTATAAAATCATTCAGTGTGTTGTTGATATTTTATTTTTGATTGGCCGGTAGAATTATCATCTGAAAAAGTTAGGATTAAAATTTTCAATTTGTAAAGCTAACTAAAATTATTATTATTATATGTGGATATCACTATTTTATTAAATTACTATTTACTATATTAATATATTTTTTCATATAAGAATGAATTGATTAATATTATTTCCTTACAAAACAATGATTCATTCATGTGATAACTTATTGTCATTTATGATTTTTACAAAATAGAATTTATTTCTAATAAATAAAATCAAAAATAACAAATAATAACCAGGATTATCTCAAAAAGGCTAAAATAAATATAACAAATAAATAATAATACATATTAAAAGAAATCAAACAACAATAATATTACCAATGGTTACCATACTTTAATCTTGTTTACCAAAATTCTTGAGGAAACCCATTAAATTCAGAAATTTCGTCCACCTTACCGCCTGCCGATGTTTGATAAACAGTTCTAAGTCTTAATCTTACATTTGTCTATGAGATAGTTGTATATACATATGAAGGAAAAAATATTTATTTTTAAACTAAATTTCAATTGAACAAAATGATATATATATTAGTAAGACGGACCTTTGCAGGATTCATAACACGAATTAATTGAGTTACTGATGAACCAGGTATAACTGTTGTTGAAGAAGGTGGTTGCATTTGTAATTTTTGAGTCTATATTTTATTTTATAATTTTTTTCCCAAGAAAAAATTTATCAAATTTAATATCAAAGATAAAAATCAAAAAATTAAAAATAGATAAAATACAACAACATACTTTAGGGACAGCAGCTTGGAACAAAAGGTTTTGAACAGTTGATCCCACTCCAATATTTAAAAATGTAACCAAAATATCAAGAAGATTTGGGTTATTAATATCTTTAGTCGGATTCAATGTAATCTTAAAACCATTTTTGTTATAAGCTACATATTGATCTATATATTTATATAAAAAATGAATAATATTATAAGTAATAGCGGCGGCGGTGATAAAAATAGCCATTAATATTATTAAGGTGCTAGCAATCACCTGAACTACCAAGTTCCGTTGTATTAAGCGCGCTTATATCACCAAATCCACCAATACTACCACTATTGCTAGAAGTAGAGCTAACAGGTTTAACGGATGGTGTTGTTGATGTAATAGATTGTGAAGCAATATTTGATGTGTTACTTCCTAATCCTAGTAAACCATCCAAAGGATCTATTAAAGATGATGATGGTGGTTGTTGTTGTTGTGAAATCATATTTTTTTGTGATGATATTGTTGTAATTTCTGGAGTAGTTATCGTTGTTGTTGCAGGACGTTGAATGTTAAATAAATTCATAATATCATCTTTCGTTGGTGCCGCAGTCGTTGAAGTTGTGGTGGTGGTGGTAGATGGTGATGAAAAAATATCAGCCAAAATGTCGGCTGTATTTTGAGATGTTGATGATGTATTTGTTTGTTTATTGCTACTATTACTATTACCACCAACATCAATTATTTCACTTTCGAAATCTAAAAGAGCCTAAAAAGAAAAAATTTTTTTTTAACACGTATAATAATCAAAAATAACACATATATTATGTTAATATGTATAATAAAATACTAACATTTCCACTATTTGTTCCACTTCCACTACCATTATTAGAATCAGATATTGTATCATAAACTAAACGATCATAAAATCGATAAAAAATAAAAAACAATGAATGAATAAAAAATAATGTTCCAATAAAAAAATATATTGAAAAAAACATGTAATACCTGGGCGTGAAGTAGAAGTTTCTTCTTTATAATCAGGCACAGGCATTCTTTCAAGTACAGCAGGCCGAATAGTATCAAAGTTAAATAGATTAGTATATTCAACAGAACGTTGTTGTATCTCAACTTCTATACTGGTGCTATATTTTTCAATTATAGATTTGATATTTTGAATGACAGATGAATTGGTGAAACGTGATGTTAATTTCATCAATGCTGTTAGTGCATATTCTCTAGTGATTTGATTTGAATATGGCCCATCTAAAATTGATTCAATCAAAGTAACAACATTTGGCTCTGTTACCTAAATTTAAGTTTCCCCAGATTAAAATTTTAGAAAAAATAAATTATAATATTTTTAATGGTAAAAACAAAAAAAAACTTCTATTACCTCTTTTACTAATTCTTCTTCTTCAAAATTACCACCTTTAATCAATATATCACCATACTCTCCAATTACCCAAACACCGGATAATGTTAGTGATTCCTATACAATATCAAAAGAAAAATTTTAATTCTTTTCTCTACAAAAAGCAAAAGTGTTAATTATAATAATCATTGTCATTATTATTTACCTGAGAAATATCATCCTTTAAAGCAGAATATAATTTCTGTACAGTATAGGCATGTAATTCTGACGTATGAGCAACAAGTCGAATGAAGTTTGACAGTATCTCTTCACGGACGTAATTACCTGCCTAAATTATTAAAAAATCTTTAAATTTTACACACAAACATATCGTTATTATTGAATAAAGGTAATATAAACACACCAATTTCAATACTCGTAATATTGTATCAATATGCCATCTTTTGTTAGGAGCAAATCTAAAATAAAAAAATAATAATTTTATTTTTAATTTTGTAATTTCAATTTAGATTGATAATCATATATGTATATTTTATTTAATCTTTACCTATCAGCAGCCAAACAAACCTTTGTAGTCATACCTTGTTTAAATTCATTATCAGCTACCTCCAAAAATGCCAACAACTCACGAGTTAAAACTCTAACATTTGACTCATTAATTAATGCAAAAGTTAACTCTAACGCACGTCGTCTTATTGAAATATCAGCATCACGTAAACAATCAAGTATTATATTTCTGTGCCGTTGTACTGCATTAGTATCTAATGTCACTGTTTTATTTAATGTAGTAAGAGCAACATATCTAGAATAAAAATAACAATTAATAAATAAATAAAATTCTATTATTTCTGCATACATAATAAAAAATTTTCTACCTAATATTATTATCTCTATTTGTCAAAAATTTTCCTAGGATGTTTATTGCTAATACACGAAGATCACTTTCTGATTGAATTTCCATAATAGTTTGTACAGTCTCATATAAAATTGCATTTCCAACATTTTTTGCTGACTCAGTATTTGTTGCGACCTAAATGTATTAAATTAACTCAGTCGTTAATTCGTTTATTAATTAAATTGTTTGAGTGAACTAATAATAGAGAAAAATTAAAAAAACCTGTGCCAAAACATCATTCATTGCCTCGCTAGCTTCGGAATCACCTTTACCCAAAATTCTTAAAAGCCTTAATATTTTAATTTGCAAAAATGGATCAGTTACACCAGTAACATCATGTTCGGGAGAAAATCCAGCAGAAACCAAGGTTTTCAAATGCCGAACCAACAAAGGAACTGCCTAATGGCAATATGAAAAATATGTATGATCAATAAATTTGATTCAATATATATATATCATAATTATTTAATCAATTATAAACCTTGCGAAATGCTTGCAAAGTTTCTGGATTTTTTGAACACATTTCTGTTATAAGAGTAATGGCAGTAAGTAAAACTCCATGATTTCTATCATTCAGTAGAGATTTTGCTTTTGAAAGAAAATTTTCTTGTAATTCAGGAACTTTACGAATAATGCGCATCGCGCATAATGCCGCCTTTTTTTAAAATTAAATTGACAGTTAAAATATAAAGTGGAAAGAATAATCATCAAAAATATTATGTTATAAACCTTTTTTCTAATATAAGTATTGAAGCTACCCAATAATTTCTCGACTTCAGCACATAAATCGCGTGCCATTTCTGGTGATGATATATTACCCATAGTACACAAAGCTAATCCTACAACATACATATTTGAATGGTTCATATCACTAAAAAATATAATTGTTACTTAATAACATCAATTAAAAAGTTAATTTAAAAAATATATATACAATAATGTCAAAAAAATCTATTATTATTACTTTTTCAAAGAATTAGTAACTAAAGTTAATACTTCTTGATTCTCGTCCAATAAAAGCATTATTCCTAAATATCCAAGTCTTTTATCTGCAAATCTATTTGAAGCAACTAGTTTTAAACATTCTATTTGACCAAAATGAGCTGGATAGCCTAACATGTGAATGTAAAGTAGCTTTGCCACATTTGAATGTCGTGCATCATTATTTTCTTCTTTGAAACTTGTACGTATTGCTGCTGATTCTTTTTGAATGACAGTTCGTTCATCAGCTGCCGTTTTACAGGCACGAATCGCTTTTATGAGATCTATAAGAATAACAATGAGATCAAGGTTAATTTAATTTACTAATTTTACTGATGAAACATAATGATCACAATCTAACAAAGATGCTTGTAAAAGTTTGGTTTTCTTAGTAATTTATATTACCCTTAAGACGATAATATGGCATAATAATAAGTTGTTATAAATGGTAATAAGAATTTAAATGTAAATTAAATTGACACACTTTTTTCGTGGAACAACAGTTTTAACTTTGCGTGTAACATAAATGCAAACAGAAAATTTAAAAGTTAAAGCCTAAGGCGCACGTGAAATGATCCATTTGTTGTTGTATAGCAATAGATAAAGATATCGCAATATGGGGCTGTTGCAGTAGAAAGGAACATTTTTGGATTGCATAATAAAATTTGTAAAATCTTGATTTCAACTTGGAATTTTTTATGAACTAATAATGATCATCACATTTCCCCATTTTATAATTTTGACATTTCTCTATTCAACAAGGCAAAGGCCAAACAAATGCTTTACATGCATTTAAAGCATAAATGCATTGTGTTTTTCAAAGACACCTTCAGATAAGGAATATACCTAAAAAACAACAAGTATTTCTACACTAAACTAAATAAATAAAGACAAGACAAGAATAACAACATCCTTGGCTTGTTTAATCATAAATGTTAGGTGGCTACAATGACACTTTTGATATGTTGGTCTTTCTGTATGGTATGGTACTTTTGATGGTACCAACCAAACTTGGTCGTTTTTCACTGATGGTTTTTTTGTTCAACCCCAATTTCTCATTTTCAATATATTCTTTAAGTTAAGGCTTCGAACGAAATTCGAACCGATTCGATTCGATTTGATTTGAAATGATTCGAATGTATGATTTGATTCGAATGTATAACAATCATTATCATTCATTAATTATATTTATTAATGAATTGTGCAACTGTAATTGTATTACATTTTTTATTCGTCATTACGTTATTATTATTGTTATCAATTAAAATAAATATTAGTGATGGTGGCCGAAACTACCTTACTTAGTGTCGAAATTAATTGGCCTAACTTGGGCGAAACTAATTTTTTAATAGCTGAAATTGGGCGAAATTATTTTAAGTTTTTTAAAATAAAGTAGATTGATTTAGGTACTTGTTATTATAAAAAATATTGGGCTACCATAGTATTGGGCGAACCTACTTTTTTTCAAAAATAGTTTCGGCCACTATCACTAAATAATATCTTTCATCAAATTAAAAAATTTTAAATTTAAAAATATACATAATCTTGGTTTAGCAGATGGTAATTAGAAAAATTTTTCCAAAAATCCGTTATTATCATATTACACAGGCAAACTCGATAAGTCGGCCGCATAATTTATATTATCAAGTACTTTAAACAATTGATTACTGCGGGC